TGAATTGCAAAACGATTTATAACTTTAACTGTCTGTAACACGTATTAGACACCATAAATTTTTATAACTTTTTCTTACTTAATTTATTATTTCTTTTAGGTAAAAAAAAATTCATTATTTAAAAGTGTGAAAACTATTTCGAATATGTATCAGTGAATGAACAGTGATAAAATGAATACATTTATCCTACCACTTTAGCTAAGAAAACCTATAATTTTGCAGTAAAAAATCTTGCAGATCCTTTACTTCGTAGACCAAGCTCAACCAAATCATTGCTTGACATCAGTAAAGCACGAAAAAGAAATGCCAGTATCTCGAGTACCGCATCATCGAATTCTCCACGTCTTAAACATCCGCTCTCATACAAGAAAAGACAGCTTGTTCAAGTCAGCTAAACAAATTGTCTTTTTAACTGTTTTCACTAACTCAAGAAACCTTATTTTTAGCAAAAAGAAAACTGTTTTAGAGTTTAGGTGAAAATAAATTTTATTTGACTACTTAAGACAATTCAAAAGTATATTGCTGTTTAATGCATAAACATCTAAAACGTGCAATTGAGACGCCAACATATTTGTTAATTTCTCCTTTTACAGAGCTGTTTTCGTAATCCTCATGAAACACTTGGGAAAAGAATTTTGAAAAAAGCATGCGATAAAAAGAGGGATTTGGAACATTTCGTCTCCAAAATGGTTAGCAAAGATCGCGAAGAACTGGAAGAAAACATTAAAGTTTTGCTGAAAAAAGTTGTCGCAAATATTGAATTTATTGATGAGGTAAATCAACTGCTGTAATTATAACACTATTACTGAACAACATTGCATATTATTTGCTCGATGATTAAGGTATTTGCTCTTATTCATATAAATAATTTTTCAGGTTCAAAGGTTAGGTGAAGAATTTGGAGCATATCATGTACGGTTTCGTAAAGATGGTTTTAAGCCAGATTTTTTTGTCACCTATGCAGATGCGGCAGTAACTGAATGTACATTTTTGGATAACGCTGTTCATCCTTCTCATCAAACCCTTGACGCTTTTTCATCCTTCATTTCGTTGGTAAAAATTGTTATTTCAAGCATTTTTTCATTAATCAGTTATTAAAAAGATTTTTAAATTTTAAAAAAAATTGCTGACCGCAACCGAATGTCAACTGTTGCAGATATTTTCCTTTGTTCGAGATGGTTATTACAGCGAAATGCGACGCTCTAGACGGGTATCAAGCGCTGTAAGTAACGGATCTACCTCATCAAGAAAAAGTGGAATACTTTCTACTGGATCTAACGCAGAGCAGTCGACCAGGTTTAACAGTTATCTACAACTGTATAATAAAGTTTTTTTTAGCAAAGCATCGACAAAAAACTTCTTTTCCTTTTTTTTTTTTAAAATAAGTTTATATGCATAAAAAATTCTATTACTACGCACACATTTTAAGAGCTACAATTTATTAGATTCTAGATCAGCAAGTCCTGGTGCAGAATCAAGGTTGTCAGATGATTGCTTTTCCAATTTTGGTTTTGCTGAAGGTGACGATGGTTTGCTGAAACCCCCGACACAAAATTCTTCAGTCTCTAATGGAACAGCATCACCAGTAAAATAATAAAGGAATCAAAAGTATGGAAAGTGAAGCTAAGTATATAAACTGCAGATTACATCCTTGACAAAGTAATTTGACTATTGTAAGTTCTGTAACAAAAAATACAGTTTTTTTAAAGGTTTAAAACGAAAGTAAAGAATTATGAGAACTATATTTATTTTGAAACATTTGTGAAGGACAGGAAAGTTAGTTGTAACCTAAGTTAATTGTGGAAGTTTGTTTTGTTGAAAAGGGCCAAATCAGAAAATAGTTGCCGTTTTACTTAACCTTAATACTGTAATATATACGAGTCTTTTATAGAATATTTTGAGAAAAACAAAAAAAAACTGTAAATACCTAGAAAGTATGAAAAGCTTTTTAAAAATCAGTAAAATTTTAATGTTGCCTGAACATGTAATGCAAATCTTTGAAAGGAATTTTTAAAAAAACCTAATTTTAATTACAAAAAAAAAAAAATTTTTTTCCAACAAATTTCCTCGTTTTTGAGCGGTTTTATATTGCCTTTGTATGTCAAGTTCCACTTACAGCTTTCAGCGGATATATGCTGTCGAAGAATGACGGTTGACAAAAAACTGTTAAAGTTAATTATGTCATGACAAGATCTTTTGTTTAGTCGAATAAAAGCTAAAATAACAATTAAAAAAAACTTGGTACTATATATATTAGCTCTAAGCTTATAACAGTACCAATTTTTCAAAAAAGAATTTAATCAGAAAAGTGCGCAGATGTTTAGTTACGACAAATTTGATAAGAAAACACTGGACTCTTCATAACAGTTAAAGTTGTTTACAAATTATTTTTGATTTTCTTCAACAGTTTCCGATGACAGTTTCAACATTACCCGGAAAACCAAGTTTGGAAGTAAATTAGTAAAATCGAGAAATTTCTCAGCGTAAATGAAATAAAAGAGTTTTGCTCACTGATATTTGGTTTACAATAGAGTTTTCGTCCTCAAATCTGACAGAAATCTAACAGTAGCTACCATGTTTAAACTTGAACTGTATTAAAGCTTTGTATCTTCAGTTTCACACTTAATCGCTTGTCCAAATTTCGTTTTACTCTGATGTTGATATTCAGGCACATTTGCAAGAAAGAGTAGATTACAGTTTAAATTTCCGCATCCTGTGGAAAATTCTTTCCTATCTGATTATTACTGATGATTTAATCTGCTCAAAGCCTGATCAAAAAAAAAAAAAAAAATTCTAGAAAAGTAACATATTTTCAGCAATGCTTTATGCGATTCATAACTGTTTTGAAATATGACAATGTGTTGTTACTTCCTCAGAAAAATAGAAAAAAATTTTACGCTGTGTAACTCTAATCGTCTTTTGCTCTTTTTGATGCAGCAGACACGACATTTTGTTATCGTTAGTGAACACGTGTTGAATCAAGCATAAACCAGTACTTTTTATCTTAAGTTCTACACTCCAGCGTTCATCTATTTTTAAAGTGCTTCCCATAGGGTGCTGCAGAAACAGAAAAAAATACAAATTATTTCAAAGCCATGGTTTTTTATACAAGAATAATGTCGTGTTGTTTTTTTTTTCTTTCGTACTCATAAGATTGCCTCTTAATCAGGAGGCAAGTGTTGGTTTTAATGTATTCTGTTGTTAAAAGTGAAATGTCACTGCGTTGTCATTCAGCAGAATTAAATCACGTTTGGTTCAGAAACCTTAAAAAATATCTGTAGCTATCTTTTAGCTAAAGTACTGCTCTAGTGATTGTTTATTCACGTGTTTGTAGATGGTTTTTCTCAACCATCTAGCAAATTTTTGGGAATTTTCAAAAAGTAAAAGTCACTGAAAACTGTAGGAACTGCACGTAAGTTAACAAAAAGTAGAAAAATTTTTTATTAACTCTTTGGTAACCAAACGCAGTTTAGCCTTACTCCAAAACTTTCACGTCCAAAACATCCTACGTCGTACGAGAAAAAGCGAAAGCTGTAAATTAAAACGTAATGTTCGAAAATGAAATACATTTATTGTTTTGTAATTAGATAAATTTTTCAGAGATAAAAGTGAAGAAGGGTTACATTAGCGTAGCTATGTCTGATAGAAAAATTAAGCTTTTGTGTGCTTGATGAATCGTACGAGCAATCAAGAAGAAAAAAAGATGAAGAAATTCAACTATAAGATAATTTGAATATAAATTTGAATATTTCTAATTTGATATTTAAGTGCCAAGATTTCTTCAAAACTCTAAGTGTTCAGAAATTTTTTCGACGAGTGAACTAAGTGGAATCTATAGGATATATACAAGTGAGAAGAAAGTGTAGAATTTCTTTACAAATGTTTCGGTATTGAGTGCTCAAACTCCTACAATAAAATTCTTATATAAAGCACAAACTTGTAACTGAGAATTTACTTTTTGAGTTGAACAGTTTGAGAACTTCAAAACAAAGGATATCGTAATAAGTATAAAGTAACTCTGAAAAAATCTGGATTTTAAAAAATTCTGAGGGCAGTCATACGATTAGTGATAAGTAGCCAATTTTCCGTACAAAGGAACGCCGTTTGAAAAGTACGTTTTAAAATAAAAGGATACTTTTCGACAGAAAATTAAAGCAGCCGACGTTATGCAAATTCTGAAGGCTCCAGTAACAAAAGCTGTTATAAACGGATTTGCATTTGACCTGCAATAACCCCCGTTTCTCCCAACATCAGAACAACAGTGATCGTAATTTATCAATTCTTTTCACATGACATCCAAAACTTTGGTAGTAACAGCAAAATAAGTTTGGCAAAAACATCAACACCATGTCTTTCAATGTGAAAACTTCATTGCTGAAAAAACAAACGAATTTTGTTACAACACTACTGCTAAGTAACCTAATGAATAAACGATGTCAGCAAACTGGCGAAAAACGGTCTTAATATCTTATGAGAACTTTCGTAATTTAGCTACAGAATGAAAGAACATGTAGGAATTATTGAAAATACCAGAAACCCGCCAACAAATTGTGGCCTGTGAGTAAAACAAGCATTGCTGAAAGAATTCCAATTGAAGCCTAAGAAAGATAATCGCCTATAAAATATTTTGAGTATTGCCGAACAAATATAGGATGCTGCTTAATTTCTGCGGTTCATTTAACACATTACAACATGTATAGGTAAAATTTTTAAGCTTTTGTCTGCTTCAGCTTCTTCCAATAGCCTGGCCAAAACTCAGCCACGTTTCCATAATATCTTTAAACATCTACAGTTTTTTTGAGGCCCAGTTATGCAGAAACTGTCTAGGAGAATTACTTGCAGCTGCATTAAACGAAACAGAAGGAAGAGTAGAAAGAAGAGAAAACTACAACTCACTTGAAAACTCATCCTTTTATTTTTTTAGCTTCACGTTAGTTTGTGTTTGTTAAGATCTCAAAGTTTTATTGACTGTTGCTGAGCATTTGGAGTTAAGCGCGTTCAAGACGTTATTTTTTGTTTCACTACGGCAAACAATATCTGTCGTAAAAAATACACTTTATTTTGAAAAAAACTAGTTAGCTTTCAGATTGAGGTGGCTAAACGAAATAGTTCTTTCCTAGACAGAAAACGATCCTAAAAGTATAAATTTTTCATTTTCCGCACCGTTGCACTAAATGTTTTACGGAGCAGAATGTCTGGTCATTAAAACAACGAATTAATTCTGAAAACTGAAAAGCAATTGTGACATGAGTACCGCAAGTAGCACCTTTCCCCTACGATTGTTTTCCCTCCACTGTTTACAGCTACAGGCTTTTTACCCTTCTCCTCCGTTCAGTACGAGAATGTGGCACGGGAAGGAATATCAAGGAGAATCTTGCACAGGTGCAATAACCAGAAGGACAATAGCAACAACCTGCACCAAATGTATTTTTTTTTTT